CCCCCCCCCCCCCCCCCCCCCCCCGCCTTTTGTCCTCATTCTAAGATGCACTGAAACACATCCATAAAGACTCTTGGGTTTTAATTCCTACACCAGGTAGAAGAAAAATTTCAGCGATCTCTCCAAACAGAACATTTAAAGATAGTAGGTTCTCACTGATACCTGTTCAGGATTGCTTTCTAAACAGGACTGAACAAGCTTGTTCAGCAGCGGAGCTCTGATACCCTGGCCTGGAATCTCACACTGAACTCTTTAGAAATGCCAGATGAATTTTAACACGAGCAAGGGAAATCTGGGTCTCTGTTTCTTCATCTAGAAAATGGTGACTGTTTCTGCTGGCCTCACTGACTACAAGGATGAAAGGAAAGGATCCCCGTGGAAGCCCTTTGCCAATCTAACAAAATTTGAAATTGTATTTTACGTATCACCAGTGGAGCCGGCAGAATATATGTGAAAACTTAGTCTCTCGGATTAAAGTTTCATAAAGGGCATCTAGCCTTTTTCCAGAGCAAACAAACCAACCTCTACACCAAGCCTGCTTTAGATATGCTGGTATTGGTGCGCCTGGGTGGCTCAGTCGGTTAAGCGTCCGACTTTGGCTCGGGTCATGATCTCACAGTTCGTGGGTTCGAGCCCCGCGTCGGGCTCTGTGCTGACAGCTCAGAGCCTCGAGCCTGTTTCAGATTCTGTGTCTCCCTCTCTCTCTGACCCTCCCCTGCTCATGCTGTCTCTCTCTCAGAAATAAATAAAACATTAAAAAAAAAAAAGATATGCTGGTATTGATGAGAAAGAAAATCCTTTTTCTTTCTTCCTCTTTCCTCCTTCTCACATATGCCTATTGTGCATTCCCCTTGCCTTTCTGCTTTTTGCAGCCCTTCCCTTCACCCCCACCCCCACCTCTGCTGCTGCACAGGGGCCCCTGGGGTTGAGCTCACACCACAGACAGACGGGTAGGGCACACTCCTTGCACACTCTTCAAGCACAGCCTAGCTTTTTCTCATTCTGCTCATTTGGGCTGCAAGGTCAGAGTGAAATAGAGCATCTTTTGTACTCAGCTCTCAGTACCACGCTCGGTGTGAGGTCCCAAAGGTGTGTGTGCAAGATGAGAGTACTCACGAAACACAGAGGCACAGGACTCCGGGCAAGGACTCGCTGTCCCTTATCAGGAAGTTGCCATCCACCCGGTCCTTGAGCAGTAAGGTCTCGCAGTCTTTCTTAGACAGAGGGCCGTGGTAACAAGGCAGATCCATGGGGAGCCCTCTGGTATCCCTGAAATCGTCCGCAGGTCTGGGGACGGCTCTGAGGAGGGAACTGAGGGAAAGTGACCTCGCAAGGCTTCTCCAAGCACCTCTCCAGCCGGCTGGTGGGAGCGAGGTGACGCTGCCTTGTGGGGACTCAGGCAGTTTTGAAAGATTCAGGAAATGAAAGGGGTGGGGTTGATGAAGTGACCACGACTTTTCAGCCTGTAAGTGGCCCTAGTGTGACTCACAGAAGTGGGTGAGAGCAAGTTTGAGCACACGGTAAACTGGGTGATGTTCGTGGGTGGGACTGCAAGGCTGAAGTGAGCTCCCCAGCATGGGGTTGCGGCCTTGAATATCACCCTAAAGCACCCATCTTCTCCTTCTCTGGCTACTGGTGGGCCCTCCTGGGAGCGCGCCGCTACCTTTGGCTGCGGTTCATGCCCATTTCGGGCTGGAGCTGCCCATCCCTGCTCTACGCTAAGCTCATAACAGGTGCTCAGAAAGTGTGCGGATGCTGAATGAATCCGGGTTTGTCCAGTTGTGATGGAGCAATTGAGAAGGTAGGACTTCCACTGGTCAAATGGCATGAAAAATGGAAGACATTAGTGGGAATAGAAGGCAACTGAATGCAATGCCGGGGGACAGCCCAGCCCCCACTTAAGGCTCCCCTTGATGAGCAAAGGCCACTGTTAACATCTTTCAGCATTATGCTTTTTGGGGGAGGACCTGGGACAGGTGGAAGGGATGTCTGGGTGTGGAAAATCATGCAGGGAGTCTTCTCCCCGGTGCAGAAAAGGAGGATTGGTTTGAGGATCCTTGGGTCCTTTGAAGTTCGTGTCCTGGAGGCCAGCAGTGATGTGTCCCCATGAAGAAAGACCAAGTCTATCCATCCAGAGACACTGAGTCCTCTTTAGATAAGCTGGTATCGATGAGAAAATCCTTTTTCTTTCTTTTTCTTCCTTCCTTCCTTCCTTCCTTCCTTCCTTCCTTCCTTCCTTCCTTTCTTTCTTTCTTTCTTTCTTTCTTTCTTTCTTTCTTTCTCCTTCCTTCCTTCCTTTCTTTTCTGTCCTCTCCTCTCTGTCTCTGTCTCTGTCTCTGTCTTCTGTCTCTGTCTCTGTCTCTCTCTTAGCCTTTTCTGCCTTGATCCACTAATATTCTTGGGAAGGGGGGGGCCTTCTGTGATCTGAGGGTCAGAGTTAGCCCTAAGACTAATTTCTAAGACTCCCCCTCACTTTTATTGAGATATAATTGATATATAACATTGTGTAAGTTTAGGGTGTATAATGCATTGATTTGCTATCTTTATACATTGCAAAATGATTCCCACCATACTATAAGCTAACACTTTCGTCCTGTCACCTAATTACCCTTTCTTTTTTGTTGTGAGAACATTTAAGATCCACTCTCTTAGCAACTTTCAAGTATGTAATACAGTATTATTAACCATAAACGCCATGTATATTAAATTCCCCAAAACCTACTCCTGTTATAACTGGAAGTTTATACCCTCTGAACAACATCTCCCTGTTTCCCCCAAGGCCTTTTTGAACAAACAAACTGTCTACGTATTATTCATGAATTAATTTCAGACAGAATAAGCCGTGTGAGCCTATCTGTAATCCAATATTTTAAATTAGATCCCATTTACTTATCTCCCACAGTTACTATGGTACAATGTCAGTGGTATAAACTACATGTGAATTTCTTTCTGTATAGGACTTGCCACACATCTCAAGTATATATCTGTAAAAATAAGGAACTCCTAGGTGGCTCAGTCGGTTAAGCGTCCCACCTCTTGATCTCAGCCCAGGTCATGATCTCACAGTTTGTGGGTTTGAGCCCTGTGTCTGGCTCTATGCTGAGAGTATGGAACCTGATTGGGATTCTCTCTCTCTCTCTCTCTCTCTCTCTGCCCCCCCCCCACTCACATTGTCTCTATCTCTCTCAAAATAAATAAACAACAAAAAAAAGAACTATGTGCTCATGAGTCATCCTTACTTCTCTTAATGCCTTCTTAACCAGACAATTGCTTCATCTTGCTGCTGTGTTTAAGCGGTCCACCTACTACTGGGAAAACTGTCTCGTGGAGCTTCCTTGTAGCAGGTTTTTGCTCTTCCTTGGAAATCACACTCCTCTGCTGTTGGTGTAAAGCAGTGACATTCACCAAGAAACTTGTTATCCGAGAACTATGCTTTCAGATCCTCATTTTCCCTTATGTGGTGTAGGGCCATGTGTTGTTGAATTTCCTGGGAATTATGACAGGTGAGGAGAGAACTTATCCTGGGGAAAGAGGAAACTGGGTACCAAGCTGGATGTGAGAATATTTTCTGACCAAAGGGAAGAAATAAGTTGGTGCAAAATCATCATCGTCACTGGGGCTCTCTTGGCTTTTTTTTTCTTTTTCAAAACTCAGTCTGCCTTATCTCCACTCATCATAAGGGGAATGCAAATTAAAATCCATAGTGAGGCAACATCTCTCGCCTATCATATCGATGAAAACCAAAACTTTGAAAACATACTGGGGTAAGATTTGATAATATCGCCTACATTGCTGGTTGGAATACAAGATGGTTACAACTCCAGTGGAAGAGAGTCTGGCAATACCTAGGAAAGTTGCATATGCATTTCCCCCCCCCCCGCCCCCATAGGCTCATCTCGCTCCCATTTTGTAGTACCTAATGAAATAAATAATTCAGGCAAAGGCAGTCAATGGGTGAACATTTTAGGCAAAGGTTTGACAATGACATTTACAAGGGAGAAACCCAGCAGGCACCACCTGAACCCCCTGGTCAGTCTTAGCATAACTAAGAGCAGAACAACTAGACATTGAATTACCATGAACTTGAGGCATCAGGAAGCATGCAGCACCAGTAATGAAGCTTACTTTCAAAAACTGTTGACCTTGCGGTAAGTCAAGCTCTTAGAATGAAATTCTATTTATGAGACCATAATGAAGATGCAGACAGATAAAATCCAGTATGTGGGACATTTGGTAGGAACAACTAACATTGTTTCTTCATGGGTTAATGTCATAAAGATGGAGTCAGAGAACGGGATGGGGACTGCTCTAGATTAAAAGAGATTGATGAAGCATATGACCAATGTAACATGATGATCTTGTTTAGATCCTTGTTTGATAAAACCTAATACAAAGAAGTTTCCCGCTATTGGGGAAATTTAAATATTGATGGGATGGTAGATGAAACCAAGGAAATTGTTGCTTTTGTTAGGGGTAGTGAAGGCATTGTGCTTATGTGAGTAAATATCCATAGCTGGGTGATGATAAGGTTCGTTATATTAATGGCTCTGATTTTTGCATGTTGTTGAAATTTTTTATGATAAAAAGTCTTCCATTCTCATGTTATTCTGATCAATGCCACCTCTGAGAACAGCTGCACAGTACACAGCAACATCTTTAATTTCTTTTTTTGAAGTCACTTAGTGAGGGTGATGGGGAGAAGAGGGGAAGAGAGAGGGAGAGAGAGAATCCCAAGCAGGCTCTACCCTCCACCATGGAGCTCAATGTAGGGCTTGAACCCAAGAACTGTGAGATCATGACCTGAACCACTGAGCCATGCAGGTGCCCAGCATCTTTAATTTCTTACATGGATTCCCCTTCCTTTCATCAATGGCAATCAAAGCCTCCTGCCATGTTTTGTGAAACATGACTCCATCCCTCTAGCCATAGTTGATTGGACCAAGGGTAGGCTTCTGACCCAAGATGGGCTAGTCAGAGACACTAACCAAGGAATTTGGAGGAAATTAAGAAAAGAAAGAAGAGGGAGGCACCGGAGATGGAGCGTGGGGATAAGAATGGAAATGAGTTCCCTAGAAATGGTTATAAACGTTTTGTTTTTGTTGTTGATGTTTTGCTATGGACCCAGAAGACAGCAAAGAGAGAACTCGTCCGCAAACGAAGAATGAAGTAGACTCGTGGAGAGAAGTAGAATCAAGAGTCAGTCCTACCAAGACAATTTACTGAATGGTACAATATATTTGCAAATCATCTATCTAATAAGGGGTTAATATCCCAATATATAAAGAATTCCTACAACTCAATAGCAAAAAACCCAACCAATCCCATTTCAATATGGGAAAAGGACCTGACTAAACTTTTTTTTCCCAAAAAATATATACAAATGGCCAACAGGTACATGAAAATGTGCTCAACACCATTAACCATCCGAAAAATGTCAATCACAACCATAAGGTACCATCTCACACCTGTTAGAAGTAGCATCACCAAAGAGACTAGAGATAATAGACCTATTAGATCTATTATAGATCTATTAATAGATATAGTCTAGATAATAGTGAGCTTGTGGAGGAAAAGGAATCCTTGTGAATCATTGGTGGGAATGTAAATTGTTACAACCGCTATGGAAAGCAGTGTGGAGGTTCTCCAGAAAGTTAAAAATAGAACCGCCATATGATCAAACTACTTCTGGATATACATCTGAAGGAGATGAAATCAGTATGCTGAAGAAATATCTGCATCCCCATGTTCACTGCAGCATTATTTACAGTAGCCAAGACATGAAAAGAACGTAAGTCACCTGTCAACAGGTGAATGGATACAGAACACGTGGTATATATACACCGTGGAATATTAAACAGCCGTAAGAAAGAAAGAAATCTTCCTATTTGCAACAACATGGATGGAGCTTAAGGGCACTATGCTAAGTGAAATGAGTCAGGCATAGAAAGTCAAATATTGTATGATCTCACTCCTGTGGAATCTAAGGGGAGAAAAAGTCACAGAAAAAGAGATCAGATTTGTGGTTACCAAAAGTAAGAGGAGGGCGAATCACATGAAGGTGGGCAAATACTTCCAGTTACAAGATAAGTAAGTCCAAGGGGCATGATGTACAACATGGTGACCACAGCTAACATTGCTGTGCGATGTATAGGAGAGGAAATCCTAGCCCGCTGTCCCGGAGTCCCAGCCGGTTCCTACAGCAGTCCCGCAGTCGCCCTGCTCCTCTTTCCTTTCAAAATGACAGATGTCGCTGTGTCCTTCACCAAGGACGTCCTGGCGGGTGGAGTGGCTGCGGCGGGTCAAGCTGCTGCCGCAGGAGCAGCACGCCAGCAAGCAGCTCACCACCGATAAGCAGTACAAGGGCATCATCGACTGTGTGGTTCGGA